GACTGTGCAGGTGTGCCTGGAGGCGTGTTTGGCCACTGCAGAGACCATGCCAAGGGCAGGGAAGTGCCCTACAGGGATGTTCAACTGGTACAAGTAGACTGGCAACACCCTCAGCTTCTGGCTAATGGTGTTAGCCAGGGAGCAGCCCCAGGGTGAGCAACATCACTTAGCACTCTCCCTCTGCTGCACCAGCTACTCCCCAGCTGCAGACCAGGGCATGGCCCTTTGGGTTTCTTCCCCTCTTTCAACCTTCTAACCACACACCTGCCTTTAAAATGTCATAGTACCGTAACAAACCCTCACTCACGTTTTCTCTTTTTTCCTCTCTTCTCCACACATTCCCTTCACTTTTCTCCTTCTTGCCTTCCTGTGCTCTTTCTACTCATCTTAGGTATATAATGCTTGTGCCTAGAAAGGTTGTAGTTTTAGAAAAAAGTATGCAAATGGTGCATCTGTCCAAACAGTCATGTATGAATCAAGTATGTTTTGTATTTATTAGCATAAAATATCACACTTCAATAAAAATGCAAATAAATAAAGAAGAAGAAAGAAAGGCAAGAAAACAAGCATACAGAAGGAGAACAAGAGACTACAGTAAAGGGAAGCAGAGCAGAAAGAAAACAGGGAAGCACTGGCTTGCAAATATGCATCTGAGAGGAACCCTGAAGTTTTCTATTCTCTTTGTCAATGAGGTAAGTGGAGACAGATCTAACTGGAAAGTCTACCATTTCCTCACCTATTATTTTTTGTCTGCCAGAAATGTACGAGGAATTTACTTAGCTGGCTGTGAGTTTTAAATCTCTTGGCTGAGACAAAAGGAATCACAGTTGCACTGCATATTGGATGATACATACTCCTGATCATGGGTGTGAAACACAGTGCTGGAGAGTGATTATTGTCAGTAACTGCATTACTCTTTTGTGACAAAAAGCCTGAGGTCTGGAACTTTTCTGAGACACATCAAGAGCTTGACCACTCTGTGAGCAAGAGAACAAATTTTCTAGTTGTGCTTTGCAATGCAGAAGGAGTCAGACACTCATATTTATCCTTAAAGGGATAGTACTTGATTGAAACAAGATTTAAGTATGTCATCTTTAATAGGATTGGCAAATAGATTTTAAAAATATCATATACCATGCAACTGTATGTATATTACTCTTGGCTAAGCTTGTTCATGATTTAAATCAAAATATTATGATAGATATTTTATGAGGTGACAACAGAGATTGTTTTTCATTATACTGTATACAAAGAGTGGGAAACATGAGAATAATCCATCTTTATAATATATTCCTAATTTTAATCATTTGTGCATAACAGACATGGTTATAGAGCATCCTTCCCCCAAAAATTCCTCAGTGTATCCAACAGTATTAAAACCACATTCTACTAGTGGTAAGGCAAACTGTGTGCTGTGGGGTGTTGTCTGAGCCCTTCCCAAACGCATCCATGGATGATCAGAGCAAGGAGTCCACCACTGGGTCAGGAAATGTATGCACATAAATATGCAGACCATGTCCTTTGGTCTTGCTGGCACTGCTGTCAGTCATGCCTGCTGCACAGAGATGTTTTTCCATTGCTTTCTAGACAAGGAATTGGACAGGCACCTTTCTCCATACAGCACAGAAAACAACCCCTCAGGCAGCAGTTTTGCTGAGGCAAACCCAGAGACAATTACTCTGACTTCAGCTGGAGGCATGATGTAGAAGCACAACCACCTGTTAGCAAATCACAGAAACTCCGTGCAATAACAGGCTAAATACCTCACCCAGCTGGAAGCACATGAAAAAAAAAGCGGCAGGTTTTTGTTGGGGTTGGTTTGGTGCAGTTTTATTTTAAAGGGTCATAACGGGTGGTGGTGCGCAAGCATCACCAGGGAGGCCCCGTCCCATCCGTTGGAATGGAGACGAGAGTGTTGAGAAAAGCACATTGTTCTGCTACAAATCTATTTGCCCATTCCCACTGAAGTGAATAGCCCTTCATTCCAGTGGGAATTTGTGCCGTCACTTCAAATGTTATGCATATAAGTTAATTTCACACTGCTTCAGGACTTTGTTTTCAAACTACCAAAAGGGTTAAGAACTCAGAAGGAAACACTTGCCAAACTCCCCAGTCAAAACTAAGGGTAAGGGATTTTTATTTTTTTTTTGCATGCAGGGAAGGGCAGGTGGGTGAACAATGGCCAGAAAGAGAGGGAAATAGGGACTGGAAATCAAGTACAGTCTTTTGTATTTCTACAGCTCAAAGATGCTTTGGAACAGGACTGCTGCCAACTGTAGAAAAGCATCTTTTTATGGAAAAAATATGCCAGTGACAACAGATTGACAAGAACTGAGGCAGTGTGTCCTATACATATACACATTTATTCCATATTATGCAAGATTGTTTGCAGCATCATGCCTTCAGGAGTGTTCTAAGCATTGAGGAGCCAAAATTAGACTTGATATCATGAAGTCAAATTTCCTTTTGTACCACAAACTCCCCAGGATGCTTGATTACAACAGTGCTGAATCTGGCACTGGAAGATCTTACCTACAGACTGGGCACAGTACTGCTTAAATATGACAAAGCAAATACATTTGTTTCCTTAGCCTGCATGAATTGATGTTTGGTGCTGGACCTTCAAACCATTTTCTTTTAAAGAGACTTAATGCTTTTTGTTGTTTTGGAATGAGAAGGAATAAAAATATAGCAGATGGCAATTTGAATATACTTGTCACAAACGGGATTTTAAGATTGCACTCTCAATTACACTACGACCTCATTATATTTCCTACCTATCCTAGGAATGCCTTAAACTTGGTGTAAATGTAATTATGAAAGGTAATTTGTTTCGACTGCTAACTATAAAATGGGATTTATCTGTATACGACTCGTCTACACAGGGAAATGGAATAATTACACCCAATCTACCTGTGATGTTACATCAGCAAAGCCATAACAGTATAAATTATTCTGCCACAATTATGCTCATTAGTTTTCCCGGGTAAAAAGGCTCTTATCACAAATAAAAATGGGTCTCTAATGATTAATTCAGTATTATATTTATCCAGGTTTATTGGCATGGGGGAATACATTGGTTACCATGGAATCAAAAGGCAGAGTCTAACAGCAGAGTAAAGGACTAGGCATCAAAAGTATCAGCAGAGTGAGAAACCATCTTTTAAACAAAAGGTTTGCCATATGAATACGTCTGTGAACCTTTGGACAGCATCCTGTGTACCACCTGAGCAACTCCACATCCCTACTGCAAACTGGAATGAGTACAGTTTTGCACAGGCTAAGGATTAGACTGGCAAAATTACACTGATTTCATAAAACTTTAAGTCCTTTCAGTTATGTTAGCTTTCACAGTAAAATGTTGAGGAATGTCCAACATCCATCATAGCCAGCAATTTGCTTGTAGTAACTCTTCGCCTGAATTCTGTTTTGTTTCACAGTTACAAATTAATGAGGCCAGTTAATTGGCAAGCAGTGCGGCTGAAGACAGAATGAATATACTATTGTGAGTATCTGATAAACTTAGCCAAACATATCTTTGAGACAAACTGCTCTTCATGTCCACCGTGGAAAGAAATCAGCAAATATTTTGGGGAATATGTGGTACTTATGTGAAACCACTCGCCACAGATGTTTCAGCAGCAAATACGGTATTTATAGCTATTCAGTTTTTTACTTGAGGTTTTGCAAGGATAGCACATCTGAAACGAAAAAGAACATCTAGACTGTAAAGAGGCAAGACTCTCAAGCCACTTTTAAAGTTCTGTATTTTGCTGTTGAAAAAATCTCATCTGGGGATACACCCATTGACACCATACCCACAAAACTGACGATCAGCACCGACATGCATAGAAGAAACTCCATGTCTTAGAAAAGTCACCCTTAGTTTTGTGACCTGGTTATAGACTGCTCTAATTCTCAGACAGCCCTCAGCTGGACCCCAGGGACCTCGGGCAGAGGCACGAATTCCCTCTTCACTTCGAGCGGCCACTTCGCCCTGACAATACTCGGAGCATCGGTCTCCGCCCGTGGCTGGGGCACCATCGCTCCCTGCGGGGCAGCGGGTCGGTGCCAGCGTTTCCCAGAGCGAAGCTATTTGCTGTGCCACAGCCAAGAATCCCCGCAGGCATGAGCGTGACAGAAGCGCTGCCTGCTGCCCCCGGACCCCTGCCGGCCCCTCCGCGCAGGCTGCACAGGGCCGTATTTGGTTTTCCTCGGCGAGCTCTGCACAGGGCTCGCTCTGCTCCCAGATGGTTTCAGACCTTCGGATCCTGCCACCTCGGCGGACTCGGCACCACCTCCCCGAGGGCCGCCCAGCCGCCGCCCCGAGCCCCGTCGGGAGGCGCTGCGGCAGTGCAGCCCCTGCCCGGCCCTCGCTGCGCGACACGCACCGCACGGGGCTCTGCCAAGGGCGGCGTGAGCGACGCGAGGACAACGCCGCTAAAGTTTATTGTTGGCAAAGCCAGCGGGCTGGGCGGCACGCCAGCGGCCCCGGAGCGGGGCTCCAGCCCAGCGACCAGCCGCCCCCGCCGAGGAGGAACCGGCCCCCCGCGACCGTCCGAGAGCGGCCCCGGCCGGACATCCCGGCTCTCGGGAACGCCCTCGCCCCGTGTCTGGCAGAGAGAGGGCTGCGGTCGCTCCCCCACCGCTCCCCGCCCGGGGCGAGGGCTGCTAGCCGATGCCCAGCCCGCGGGACAGTGGCTGCCCAGGCCGCCCCGGCCCGGCGGCGGGGAGCGGGGGCCACAGGAGCCTCAGGGGCGGCGGCGAAAGCGGATCACGAGCGCAGAGCCCGCCCGGGCGGGCGCCCCCGACCGTGCTCGGGCGGCGGCGGCTGGAGGGGCGGGCCGGGATGTACCAAAAGCCCCCCAGGGGAGGACGCCGTGACGCCCCCTCCCACCAGCCTCCCGCGGCGCCCTCGATCCCAACGGGAAACCACCCGATGCGCCGGGTGCGTCTGCGGGTCCCACAGTGCGGAGCGGGAAAGGCGGGGGCGAGGCGACTCGCCCGGGGCGGCGGAGAGGTGGTGGGGGTCGCGGTAGAGGCGCCTGGCACACGCGTCCCGCCTTCCCCTGATCCCCCCTTCCCTGCGGCGGGTGGTGCGGCCCGCTCTCAGAGGGCGGGAGCGCCGGCCCCGCCCCGCTCAGTGACACAGGCTCCGTGTGGGGAGGCGCCGGCGGCGCGGGCAGCATCGGGTGGGACTGACCGGGCGTCGTAGCGGCGGCGACTGCGAGCCGAGCCCGGAGCATGGCAGGGGCTGGAGCCGCTGCAGAGGCTGCTGCTGGTGCTTTCCCTGCTTCGCCGCCTCCTCCCACCCGTCGGGAACTTTTCCTAGCGGCTGGTGGCGGTGCCTCCCCCCGGTTGTGGCAGCGGCGGCGGCGGTTGCTGCGTTCGGCGGTGCCGCCTGGGCCGGGGCTGGGGCTCCTGGGACTGGTTTTCTCTCGTTTCTGCTGCAGTAAGTGGAACTTTTCCCCTTGGCGGACAGGCGAGGGGGCGGGTGGAGGAAGAGGAGGAGAGAAACCCGAGCCCCGGCATCGCCGGGGGACGCGGCCGAGTTGAGGGAAACTTTGTGCGGCGCCCGGCGGCGGGGAGGGGCGGCGGGGGCCGCCGGCCGCCCTGCGCGGGGGGAACCGGGCAGGACGTGGCTGGGATGGCGGAGGAGGGCGGGATGCGAGGCGGCTCCGAACCGGTGCCCGCACCGCAGAGACCTACGGACTCTTTCCTCCGGGAACATCCGCTGCGGCCGCGGTCGGGAGAGCGGGTGTCCCGGGAGGCCAGGTTTCCCTGGCAGTCGGGCTGGGGTGGCCGCGGCCCGGGTGGGGCAGCAGGAAAAGTTTATTCTCCGTGGCTGGGGCTTCCCCCGGCGGACGGCAGCTTATCCGCTGTAATTCCCGTCCTGAGCGGCGGGATTTTGCTTGTTTGCGGGAATTCACGGGTGACTTCCCCCCCTTCTCCTTTCCCATCCTGTAGGAAGGACAGAAGGGTCTTGGTGTTTTATGCGGGTGCGCCTGGGGGCAGGAATGGTACGCGCTTTGCCTGAGGCGGCGTGGGCTCGTGTCGTTGTTCCCTCTCACTGAGGGCGAAACCCGTGCTGGTTTCGGTGCTGGGATCGAGTGCTGGCTCTACATCACCCATATCCTGAGCAGCTGCTGCCGGGGGCGATGCGGCCCCGCCGGCCTTGGCGTGACCGCCTGCAGGAAAATGCCATCACCTACCCCCCCTTCTCGTTCATCTTCCTGTGGGGAACAAACAAGCGACGTAACAGTTGGAAACTGAGCAGGAATTTATTTATTTGTTTGATTGTGTTGTACTGCATGCGGTGTAGTGTGCGTAGTGTCATTTTTTTTTACAGCAGTGGAAGATGAGAGGGATTAAAAGTAGACTTGGACAAGAGCAAATCGAAAACCCTCATCCTGCCGGTGTATTCCCAATGCAGTGATGAACAGTTGGCAAGGATATTTTATTATAGGAGACGCTGTGTCCCTTCCCTCTTTAATGAAGGAGAAACAAGTTAGAGGAGGTAGTCTCTGGAGGTTCATATGATAAAAATACTCAAGAACGAGCAAGCCGTAAAACACTTGTGTAGTATCTGAGAAATGCTTTCTCAGGAAGGGAGTTGAGGCGCTGTAGGATTGTGCCTCGTGCATGTAGTAGTCTCCCCCCTCTGGCAATGATGTAGCTTTCGAAAATGGTGATTGTTACTAAGTTTGTAAATACTGAGAAGGCATCACGTTTCAAACTTAAGGGCTTGAAGACTTAGTTTTCATATGGTTGGCAAACTTTTTGCACTAGCACTTTTCTCCCCTCCGTTTGTTCAGGGTTGTATCTGCTCTTTTGCTATTAAAAAAGTGAAGTTGCAGACTTGACATAACCTTGACAAGCTATTTTTATATATAAATGTGAAGTTAATAGTAACAATGAAGCTAAGAGCATCCATGCCTAGTTTCATGCAGCAACTCGATCATTTTAGTCTTGATGAGTGTAATTCGGGTTGTCAGTCTTCCTGGATTCTTTTTTTTTTGTATAAGTGAGCTTGACTGATAACTCTTCAGAACATCAGCCAGAAGTGGCAATGTTGTGTTGAAATAATTTTGTTCTTCGAGCACAAAGTTTTGAAGTATAATCTCTGGATAAAACGGAAAACTTGAAAACTGCTACAGACTTTTGGACTTGGAGGTAATCGTCAGGGGAAGAGGTTTTTTGTCAATATCTTAGGTTTTAGTTTTCTTTTCACCTTGAAATTGCACACAGTTGTTTTCATTGTTAACACAGTAACAGTTGACTATGAAGGAAAAATATTAATACTGTGGCTCTTAAGAGTGCTCTTAAATATATTTTGAGCATGTTTACATGCTGATGGCACCCAAAACTTATTACTTTTGGTTGCCTTTTGTCCTGCTGCTCAGCCAATTCTGATAATGCTAGCAAAAGTAAGATTTGAAAATGCTACCACAAATGATCCCAGTCCTAGTAGAATAAGGTCATTACAAAACCAAATCAATTTTTATCCAATAATTTTGATTGACAGAAATGATTATTTGAGCTATAATTCCTCAGACAAATATTGAAAAAACCTCTCAGCGCTCACATCAAAAAGCTGAAGGGGGAAAGAGAAAATATATCAGCAATCTGAAATAACAGCAGCTTTTCTGTTTTTGAGTAAATATAGACCTGCTTTAATAAATGCTGCTTCTTTTATAAAAGAAAGATTACTGGCTTCAGGTTATACGTACAAGTACTTCTTCTGCTTCCCTGTGAAACAGTGCACAATGCAACAAAGTGCATACTAAACTTATATGGTCAAACTAGTGTAACCTTGAACTAGGGGACATGTATGGCATCTGTAGAAGCATCATCATAACCTTTAATCTATAGAGTAACTTATTTTGCAAAGTAGCAAATTATTTTTCAGCTGTGCTGTAAATGAGGACCTGTGTGCTACTAAATAACAAATTCCGCATAATTCCTGTGTCTCATTTGTTTGCACACAGTGAAAAATTTTTTGCAAATATTTTTTGAATGTAAGCTTGAATTAAAAATAAGCAGAACATAAAGGGAGGCGAATAGAAGTATGTTCAAGATGCATTTTTAAATATTTTGTTGAAGAAATAATTTTTTTTCAATTTAAATTGCTGGTTGTGTTAAACTTCTCAGTAAGGCTAGACAAAGAAGTATACATATGTCTTCTAAGATCCCAATGATTTTTTTTTTCTTACAGGAGCCTGGAACACAGAACTCCAGACTGGTAGTAGAGCTGGAAGAATTGGTTTATAAAGGTGTAGATAATATAAGAGTGCATTGTAACATATACAAAAATAATTTTTAAAAGAGAAAATCCCCAAGTAATTATTGATGAGAACAATCTGGCTAGAAATGTTTTTACTAATTTTTCAGGTGAAGTCACAGCAAATTAGAATATCAAGCAAAGCAGGTGACCAACTTGGAAATGGGATGGTGTAGTAGAGTGAACAGAAAGACAACAGAATGTGGGGTTTTTTTTCTCATTTTATGTTAATAGTTTAGAAATCCATGTCTAAATATACATTTATTTTTTGAAAATTGTATGGAAATGAATGCCCACTTGAACAGGTGTTTGGTGAAGCAATATGACAGCAGCAAAGGAAGGAATAGGAATTCTGTAGAAGGTATTTGAAAAGTTGGAATGAAATAGTGGTGACCCATGTCGTAGGTTGGGCAGTGTATAAAGCTGCTGTGTGAAAAAACAGAGCAGCTGCACTGGTAAGAACAGCAGATAGGAGAATTTGAATCTGGATTGTTTGATAGTTAACAGAAAAATCTTTTTAAGTGGCCAGAAGTTTGTCCAGCCTGTACTTGAGGATAACTCGTTGCAATATGAGGTGTGATCTTTTGAAAGAATTTTTAGCTGTTTCATTGTGGTATGCCTGTCATTTTCCATGTTACTGTTACACGGTGATGCTTTTGGTGTGCGAGAACTCCCATATACATGGAAATGAAGTACAACGTTATTTGAGTTAGGGTCTGAATGCTTGGAGTATCATAAAATAATTGTGATGGTTGTTTATCCACTTGGTCTACATAAGTGTAAAGTAGTAATTTGATTTAAACAGTGTTTCTCTCTTGCCTTCTTAAACAACTTACTTTATGTCATGGGGTATGCATTCTTTTTGATAGTGAAAAAAAGGTAGTTCTAGCAGGGTTTACTTTTTGTGAGATAGAGAGTCAAATATCCTGTTTAGAAATATGGTCAAGTCTAGGTTGTTTTCTTTCTGATCCGTTTTATGTAGTATTGCTGACAGGGTGATATTCAGAAACAAAGGACTGTTCTGTAGCAGGAGAAGCAAAAATATGTAAACTTTGTAGACTACCTGTAGCAGCTGATTACCCTTCAGGTGATGGTAGTAGAGCTTTTAAGGTAGGCACAACCTGATGTAGAGAAGGGAAAGTTGCATCTGATGTGAGAAGGGAAAAGGAGTTAGGAGCATGTTGCTTCAGAAAGCAGTGTGTGGCGTTACTGAGTGGAGCATTTGTGGAGCTCAAAGGAAAAATAAGTTGGAAACTCTAGAATCAAAAGTCTGAATTCTAATTTGTAGAAACCCAGTCCAGATTGAATGAAAGTAAGAGAAGAATAAAATCTAGTACAAAAGAAAATTTTGCTAAGTAGCAGTTACCTGCAGTGCTGTTGGTAAATGTCCTTTTTTTGGTGTTGGTTATCTCTTGAAGAGCAATAAACTTTGCATCTGGTGTTACACCAGCCTGTGGCTGTGGAGGTGACCTGCCTCACTGCTGTGTCGCTGAATTCAGCTTTGTCCAAACAACTCTTTATCAGAAGGTACAGCTGCAGACTGCTTGCATATGTGCACAAGGAAGTGAGAGTACTGAGATTGTGTGTGTTATCTGCTTGCTCTGGAGCCCTGTACACTGCCTCTTAAAGGTGGCTCTGTGATGACAAATTGTGTTTGTACTTCTTGTTTCCAGCTTTGAATGAATGTGTTCTATTGGATGAGGATTATTGGAACTTTGGTTGATTGTTTGGTTGGTTTTTTAATCCTGATGACTTCTGTTTTGATTGGTGTGTGGATTGTTATGCAGAAATTTCTGTCAGGAATTTTCTAAAGCAACTGATAGTTGGAAGTGAGTGACCAGATTTGCTAAGTGAAAAATACGTATAGGTGCAATTATTTAATTATTATTACTTTGTTATGCCACGTGTTCTTGGGTTTTGTGGTTCTTAGAGGTGGAGGTATATATAGTCTTTAAAGGTGCCTTTAACCAAAAATCTTTTGTGTTTCTGTGGTTTGTTTTTGGTAGGGTTAGTCTGTCTAAAACAAGGTTTTTGAGCAGTACTTATTTGGAGGGTAGTTTTGTTCCATGCCTCAGAGTTCATAGGTGTCTGAAATGCAGCAATATATTTTTATTGACAGGATGGAGATTATGAATTTTTGATTAGGCATGAAATAGGTTGATTAAGCTTTC